GCAGGAATTGCACAGATTTACATTCGTGTCCATTCGTGTCCGTACTGTATACAGATCTGAGACCCGTGAGGTTACCTTCCGTATACTATAGTAAACAACAACACACTTCCACAAATAAAATGTTCACACCGACATGATCATGAACGGGACGATAACACATTGACGCGAGTTGGAAAGTCAGTTTCTTCCAGCGGATTCCCTCCCCTAGCGCACATTACTCAGGGCTATTTTTTCCTCCCTAGCCGACCCGAGTTCGGTCTCCTTACTTTTACTTCGTGCTGTAGATGTCGTTCGTTTATTCTACCTGCGAAGTGGGTCTCTACTGCAAAGGCGACTGCAGCGCAGTTTGACGTTCGTTTATGCAGGGATGTATACCATCTGCGCAGCTATATTGGAAGTCCTGCTCAGGATGCTCTATTCGCAGTACTGCGAAGTTTCTCACACAACACTTCACCAAATAGACAATGCACATTGTATTTCCCTCAAAATTTCTACTCTCAACCGCTCTCAACTCTTTGAAACATTCTATCTGTTCGCGTTGCATGAAATCCCCAAATATTTTTGCACTTAAAATGGGATAGATATATATTTGGCCTTGAAAAGAAAGGAAGTGAAGCTGCCGAGTGCCAAAAGTGCAACCAATGCGAACAGACTTATTGAAACGGTCATTTAAATAGAGAGAAAGAAAGCAATAAAGAAGGAGAAAATAAGACGGAGCAATTTACTTATTTCACGCATGCGCACTCCGTTTTAACCAACATAAAATCAGGAGAGTTGCGCTACTGTATATACTGTGACACTCCGTGGTAGGAGTTGGGGTCACTCTCTAGCGAAGAAGAGTTGAAAATTTAATTATCCGCGAAGATTATTATTATTTATGTTTTAATTACAATCAAAATGGATTCTTACGTAATACAGGTGGGATGTAAAGTTGATAAATACTAACACAGTAATATAGTACATTAAAATCATTGGTAAATGTCAAAAAGAATCCGTTCACCTCAAATTTTGATAAAAATAAACTGAATCGATGCGTTTTCGCGTAAAAATAAAGAATTGACAAGAAAATAATTTGTGCTTTTAAAGTAGTGAATTTGTTTTTAAAGCAGAGGATTTGTTTTAAAGTCGTGAATTTGTGTTTTACAGCAGAAAACTTGTTTTAAAGTAGCGAATTTGTGACCGCAGCGCATGCTTGCATCGCAATATTTCGCGGCTGACAGATTTCCTCACCCCAATAGTTGTCAACTTTAAAGCTGATTCTACAATGAGTCGGTAGTTCATAGTCCGAAGTCTTATCAGTGAATCGGTGAAGTTGGCCAACAGCCAACTTGTACGACTAAGACTACCGATTTTTTTAAGATTGACCAAATTCGACTTTATTCCTTCCCACTAGTCAAGTTAAACGACTCGCTGTACAACTAACAACTAGTAGATGCAAAAAAATCATAGTCACCTATTTAGATTAAAACTAGTTAAGACTTAAGATTTCTAACTACCAACTCATTGTAGAATCAGCTTAACGCTTAATATCTAGGTTCATGGGATAGAACGACACTTTTTTTGTCAATTCTTTATTTTTATGTGAAATCGCACCGATTCAGTGTATTTTTATCAAAATTGAAATGAGCGGATTCTTCTTAACATTAACTAAATAATTTATCACCTTGTTTATTTCACAGATTCGGCGAGTATGGCTTAATCAGGACGGAGAAGGTTTGGCGGTAAATAATGCATGAATATTTTAATTTAGGATTACATCAATCATGTGAATGTTAATTTTTTTCATAGGATCTCTTGTCTCTGCGACATAATCATGTTTCAATACCTCAAATTGGGTCAGAAACTGCCATAAATAAAGCCATGGAGCATATATCTATACCATTAGACGACTTGATACTTTGTCACTTAAAGTAAATTACATCTCTTTTTACAACTTATTCAAATGTTGTACTTTACACTGCATGCAATAAATTTTTTTGTTCCCCATAGAGCTGTATCTGCTATGAACAAAAACGATCCTTTGGCTATGTACAATTATCAAAGCTCTGCTGTACAATATCTTGCAAAGATTCTACAAATGCAGAAGGAAGAAAATTGGATGTTGCCAGTAATGAATATAATGTGTTTGGAACTAAGATTATCAGCAATAGGTGCAGAAAATTCTAAAAACAATAAAAATGTAAAGCCTGGTGAAGTCCTGGAGAAATGTGCAGAATGCTTGATGGCCTGTTTTCGAGTTTGTGCGGCCGACAGTAGAAGTTCAGAAGAGGACACAAAAAGATGGGGAATGCTAGCCTTAATTAATCAATTACTAAAAGTCTATTTTAGAATTAATAAATTACATTTGTGCAGACCTTTGATACGGGCTATAGAATCATCCCCTTATAAAGATCACTTTGCATTGGCACAACAAATTACTTACAAGTTTTTTGTTGGTCGGAAAGCCATGTTTGACAGCGATTATAAGATTGGTAAATATACTTTTTTATTTTGCTTCTTGCAAACTATAGCAATTGTTATCTTAAATAATATTAGAGAAATATTCTATGAAATTGTTTTAGCCGATGAATATTTGACTTATGCGTTTGAACATTGTCACATACAATGCTCAAAAAATAAGAGATTGATCTTGACTTATCTTATACCTGTCAAGATGCTACTGGGGTATATGCCCAAGCAACGTCTCTTAAAGAAATATAATTTAATGGAATTTTGGGAGCTGATGGAATCTGTAAGGAAAGGAGATTTACGTTCTTTAGAAGGAGTAATGGCAAAACACGAAACTTTTTTCATTGACGCAGGCATATATCTAATTGTGGAAAAACTCAAACTGATTGCTTATAGAAATTTATTTAAAAAAGTATACTTGGCGTTAAATACACATCAAATACCAGTGCTGAGTTTACTCGTGGCATTACAGATGTACGGAATGGAGGATATAGATATGGATGAAACGGAATGTCTTCTTGCCAATTTAATATATGAAGGCAAAATTAAAGGATATATATCTTATCAGCATAAAAAATTAGTTATATCGAAACAAAATCCTTTTCCACCATTATCTACCATTATACCGTAATTGATCACAATTGTAATCGTAATTATTGTTTCTTTCATACAATAAATATACTCGTTAACGAAATTATCGCATCATAAATTTATATCAAAATTTGGGATAATTTCAAATAAGCACTGTGAAAAATGGTTGCATTTAAGTTTTTTTTTTCATTTTCAAGGGTAAAGTCTGTACTTTACGAAGCTTTCAATAGATTTTGAATCTATCCTTACCCCTACCTGGCATTTCTTAAAAAACAAGGGTTTTTTTTTAAGAAATTTGTATAGTTTGACGTACTCTACGAGGTGGAGTAAATTTTTTTCGTAAGTGTCATGATAACCATCATTAAAGTATGGACTTTTCTTTTACAAATAAAAAAACTAAGCTTTGTACGATTTTTTTTCGAAGGGATGCAGTGGGTGCATTCAGTACTACAACCGCTCACTGAGCGCTCAGTGAACTTTTATATCTGATTGGCATATTTAGTTAGAACTAAAAATATAGACCAATCAGATGCAAGAGTTCACTGAGCGCTGAATAAGCGGTTATAGTACTGAATGCACCCACTGCATCCCTTCGAAAAAAAATCGCGTACAAAGCTTAGTTTTTTTATTCACTTGACTACAAACGCTTCGAAGCTAGAGACCCTTTAATAAGAGTTTGGTCACCTTCTCCCCGATTTGTGATTGATCCGATATTTATCATCCATTCTCGCAAATTTCTTTAAATCCAAATTTGTAAAAATTAATAAATTCGTAAAAATTAAAGTAGAATCAATTAAAATTTTTATTTTTATTGTTATTTAACTTATGTTAACATTATTAACCCTCCGCCAGCGGACATAGGGTTTCGCGAGACCCACGAGTTAAAGTTGTTGACTTTTTTCAACTATGAAGAAAATGAATAAATGGATATTTGGTTCTATAATAAATATGTGTTCTCCTACATATTTTATACATATTATATTAAAAAAAACTGCTTTTCAAACATTTTCAAACAATTCATTCTTGGGTCACTTTTAACCCTGCGTCCGCCATACGTGCGAGTATCACGACGTCCGCTGTCCGAGAGTTAAATATTTTCTATAATAACTTTTATATAAATGTAAAAAAACCGTTGAAAAATGTCTTTCATAAAATAAAAAATAACAAATAAATAAGTATTATAAATATATTAAAAATATAAAAAACATTCATATTATATCCCTTTTCAGAAGAATTATTGCAGAAAGGAACTGAGCACCAAACCATTTTTTTTCCAGAAAAAAGAATAATTGCAAAAAAAACACGTTCAAGCAGCCACACAAGACCACACAAGACTCAAATCGATTTGAGTATGTTTGAGTATTGTAATCATAATGATAAAACAATGCCAAAATGTCGTTCGTTAAGGCCATCACACGTACAAAAATTTTAGTGACAATCATAAGGTCGCAAACAAATCGATCAATCACAATCAAAATTGAGATCTCGAGTTTTTAAATCTCACTCGACTGTGATTGGTCGATTTGCTTACGGCCTTATGATTACGACTAAAATTTTTGTACGTGTGATGGCCTTTAGAAACTATGGCTGCGTTCAGCAAAGAAAATTAATCAGTTAGCGCTTAGTGATTCTTTAATATGATTGGTTCTTGCCGTTAGTTCTTCGCAAAATCTAAGCGTAGGAACCAATCGTATTAAAGAATAACTAAGCGCTAACTGATTAGTTTTCTCTGCTGAACGCAGCCTATGTTTACAGAGCTACAACTTAGGCCGGAATCAGATTACGCATTGAATATTGAGATTGAAGATTGAAATTTGACCAATCAAAACAATAGGAGGATAAAATTCTTTTGTCCTCACTAGTCAAATTTCAATTTTCGAT